ATGGTTTGTATCCATATACTTACAATGAATCCGTTCATATATTGAACTTCCGACGGTTTAAGTCTAAATACCAATCCATGGTATTTAGTTCACTTAAACTATTGCTCTGATACCATGACTGAAAGGACCCCTTTCATAATTAACATCATAACTCCAAACATGCTACATGCATATTCATAAACATATTTTACATATATGGTCTTATTACAAAAGACTGGATGCAAACCGACTAACGAGGTTTTTAACAAAGTTTTATATATATATATATATATATATATATATATATATATACATATATATATATATATATATATATATATATATATATACATACATATATATATATATACATATATATATATATATATATATACATATATATATATATTACATAATTTCCCAGGAATTTATACACTAAGTACAAAAGCTATAATGTCATTTATTTTACATCTTCTAACAGTACATAACTATACTGGATGCTTATCACCTGCAATAATTTAAACACTGAGAGGGTAAGCGGTGACGCTTAGTGAGTTCAATAATAGATACAATATAACGTTATGACATATATATACATCAATGTGGCATAAGCAAAGAGGAACAAGGAACAACAAAGACATATGTGAATCATGCGACAAGCTTTCCATATCAATCAATGATTTGATTCAAAGATATACAATCAATGAGACATAACAATTATAATACTTGATATACAGCAATAACGCTTCGGCCCAAATGGCACAGAAGACATACAATTTCTGATTAAACATTTTGGTAGATTTAAGGCTTTCAGCACTATCTACTCTTCTTCCAATGCCATAGGGGTAGAAGTCATTCTCTTGCGAGACATGCTCTACACGGACAGAGGCTACATACCAATACCACTGTGAATCTAAGTCCTTTCACTGATCACATGGCCAAAGGAACAACTTTGCTATCAAAATAGCACGAAATAATAACACGGGAAAATATCATGGAAAAGCACATAACATATATAACACATAACATACAATTGTTCCTATATATTGAACTCACCGTGAAATAACCGGGGGTTAAAGTATTAATTTGAGCAGCACTTTGTGTCTAAAAATGACTTTCTATGACGAAACGGGGGATTTTAGTTGAAAACCGGGCTTTACGCGGGCACAGTTTTAACTTGAAAATATCATTTTCTCGGGTCTTTAGTGCGTCGGGACTTGCTTCGGGTGTCAGGGATGATACTAGGACTTAGGGGGTTAAAAGTAGGCTAGAGAGGGGTTTTAGAGTGAAAGAGATTGAAAAATGGCAACCAAAATACGGGCAGCCTCGCATCCCTTATATAGGGTCCGAAGCACTTTACTACGCGGGGAGTACGAGACACGCGTCCAATGCTCCGAAGGAAGGGAACGTGGCTCGGACGTGTCTGCTATGTGGCTATCATGCGAAGACGGGTGACATGGTCAATCCGAGGCCCTGCCATGCGAACGCTGGGCACAAGCCTCTACGCGGGGTGTACCTCCTCGGACTAGTCTCGATATTTGGGCCATAAACTTCAAAAATTCGTATCTTTCGCATACGAGCTCCGTTTTTGACGTTCTTTATGTCCACGCGTAGGTGAGATTATACTCTACAACTTTCGTTTAGACTTCGTTGGCTAATTTTGAATTTATTTTAAAGTTATATTTTTAACAGGTCGGGACAGGATAAGTCCGTTAAAAATTCATAACTTCTTCATCCGACGTCCGTTTTCTTCTGTCTTTTTACCTTTGTACTACTATTGACGAGATCTTCGATTATCGTTTAGATTGTGTCGGGTAAAATCACTCGATCTTTATTTCGAGCTTTTCATGGGGATAGTTTCAACATTACGAATTCATCGCATAATGCCTTTTCATGGGGATAGTTTCAGCATAACATGGAAAAGCACATAGCATAGATAACATACAATTGTTCCTATATACTGAACTCACCGTGAAATAACCGGGGGTTAAAGTATTAATTTGGGCAGCACTTCGTGTCTAAAAATGACTTTCTATGACGAAACAGGGGATTTTAGTTGAAAACCGGGCTTTACGCGGGCAGAGTTTCAACTTGAAAATATCATTTTCTCGGGTCTTTGGTGCGTCGGGACTTGCTTCGGGTGTCGGGGATGATACTAGGACTTAGGGGGTTAAAAGTAGGCTAGAGAGGGGTTTTAGAGTGAAAGAGATTGAAAAATGGCAACCAAAATACGGGTAGCCTCGCATCCCTTATATAGGGTCCGAAGCACCTTACTACGCGGGGCGTAGTCTCACAGTACGCGGGGCGTACGAGACACGCGTCCAATGTTCCGAAGGAAGGGCACGTGGCTCGGATGTGTCCGCTACGTGGCTATCATGCGAAGACGGGTGACGTGGTCAATCCGAGGCCCTGCCATGCGAACGCTGGGCGTAAGCCTCTACGCGGGGCGTACCTCCTCGGACTAGTCTCGATATTTGGGCCATAAACTTCAAAAATTCGTATCTTTCGCATACGAGCTCCGTTTTTGACGTTCTTTATGTCCACGCGTAGGTGAGATTATACTCTACAACTTTCGTTTAGACTTCGTTGGCTAATTTTGAATTTATTTTAAAGTTATATTTTTAACAGGCCGGGACAGGATAAGTCCGTTAAAAATTCATAACTTCTTCATCCGACGTCCGTTTTCTTCTGTCTTTTTACCGTTGTACTATTATTGACGAGATCTTCGATTCTCGTTTAGATTGTGTCGGCTAAAAATCACTCGATCTTTATTTCAAGTTTTTAGTTGTATAATGTTATACCGAATCTTAGAAAAATCATAACTTCCTCATACGAAGTCAGATTTTGACGTTCTTTTTATGAAAATTTTCGGTTTAACGAATACTACGACTTTCATTTAGATCGCTAAGGCTAAAAAGTAGTTTATCGAAAACTCACTTTTTACGCTAAATAGTGCTTGCCGGTTTTGTCGTGGATCTTCGATTGGTCATAACTTCTTCGTTATAACTCGGATTTCGATGAGGTTTTCGCCTACATGTTTCCAAAGAAATTATCTACAACTTTCAATAATAAAATTTTACTTATTTCAAATTTTAGATTTTCGTTAAATTTTAATATTTGACTTTTGATTGAAATCTCATAATACTTCCAATATTTTCCGAGTGATTCTAAACATAGTTTTACTTTATTTCTAGTAAAAACTATCTGTTAGAACTCAACGCTCAATATCATATAATTTTTCATAATATTATTTGTTTTTAAACTACAAAACACGATAACTGAACGTGTATGTTACACTCTTCATGGCTAGTTATTGTGGTTTTGTTCTTCTTTTTGGGTTTGCGGATGAGTTAGTTTGCTTATGGGTTTGTCCATTCAGATCTAAGTTCATTTTGGTATCATGGGGTATAAAGGTGCAAGCTTTATATGTTTTATGGTGCCATGTATGCATTAAGTCAACCATTAAGTCCCTTTTAAGCTTAAGAGCTTCATTTAGCTATGTATGGACATAAAGTTGGCAACTTTATGTGTTGGTCCAACTCAAGAAGGCCATATCTGTGTTTTAGAGCTTTGTCTTAATGGATTAAATGGGAAAATCAAGCTGGGGATGATTGAGTGAGTACGCTGGACGTACAAGCAGGTACACGCAACGTACAAGCCTCCAAGCGAGTACGCTGCACATACATGCTTGTACGCCCCGCGTACTCGGTCTGAGTGGGTTTGTGTATTTGGGCTTTGGTTTGGGCTACCTTTTTGGGCCTGGTTGCTTGGGGCTTTGTTAGGCCATTTAAGAAGGTGTGCTTTGGATTACGGTTAAGTAGTGAGCTTTAGGGTAAGGCCCAAGTAAGGGTTTGGGCCCAATCTAGAAAATTGGCCCATAAATGGGCTTTGGATAATTATTGGTTGGTGGGCCTTTATGTTAGAAGTTTGGGGCCTTAGTCTTATACTAAACTAAGTGAGGGTTAAAATGGTATTTTTACCCCGTGAATGGATTATTGGATTAGGTGTGGACCCAAATTGTTAATTGGATGTTATTTGTTTGATAGCGCAGGGATTTTAGCAGATCTGCAGTCATAGAGTATCTGTGGGATTCAACTGTCCAAGGTGAGTCTTCTCACTATATCCATGGGTCGAAGGCACCAATGCTGATCCATTACGTGTTATGTGGTATGCTGGTTGTCTTTGTGATACTTGTATGGAAGACCCGAGGGGGGGGGGGGGGGGGAGCCCGTGTCATTTGGATATCAGACCATGGGGGGAGCCCATGGTATTCCAGATAAAGACCATGGGAGGAGCCCATGACATTTCTGATAAAGACCATGCGGGGAGCCCATAGCAATTATTTTTATGTTGCATGATAACCTGTGGTTGTATGTTATATGGTAATTTGGGGAACTCACTAAGCTTTGTGCTTACGGTGTTCAGTTTATGTTTCAGGTACTTTGGTTTTCAAATGGAAAAGCTCAGGATGATTGCAGAGCACACACCACAAGTTTTCGTATTCCGTGATTTACTCTGATTTGATGATGTTTTGTTAAATCTGAATTTCCTTGGTTTTATGAGAAAAATATGTATTAACGATTTATTTATCTAAAAACAAAAATTTTTATGTCATGATTTTTGGGACTTTACAAAATATAATCCATTGATATAATGATCCACGAATTATAAAGGTGGTTATGTGGTTAACAATGTTAGTTGGTTATATTTTGAACTCATTTTCAATTGAATAAACCATCCTTTTAAGTTTTTCAACATAATTGTGCTCCATCATATCCTCCAACTCCATTTTCAATCCAAGCATGATCCTCTCGTAGTGATCAGTCTCAATGGGTGGGTCAACCAACGTGAACAATTTACACTTGCATATTTGTTTTTGATATTGGTATTAAATAGTGTTGGGTTATCAAGATAACAAGTTTTCTCAAGCTTCAAGATTTACGGATATTTAAAATTGTTTGCATCTAAAAATATTTTACCAAAGAGTTGATGCAGTCGCCTGGTCGTATTCTTCATTGTCCATGACACACTTTCGACCAATAACTTCTCATAATCACACAAAGGAACCGCATCAAAAGAGGAGTTGCAACGAAGGATTTGATTATGGTTCCTTGATGTTTACAAGCTCGATGAGAAAGAAATGGACATTATTGGTATTAGTAGGGTTTGGTGGAACTTCCTTAAGCTAAAACGGGGAAGAATGAAGTTGGGAGTTTTTCATTTGGGGCTTCAAATTTTAGCTTATTAATTAAGCTACAGAGCTAATAGTCACAGTGACACCCACATGTACAAGGCTAATATCAAGGTTACCGGTTCAACCGAGTATTTTTCTACAAATTACCTTATTTAAAAGATTATAAAAAGAGTTAATTGATCCATAATGTAGAAAATTTAGAATACGGTCTTACGACGAAAGTTTTTGGGCTTTAATGACAAACCCAGGTATCAACTGTGGTCATTATATATTTATATTGTCCTAAACCCTATTGAATCGGTTAAATGTAGTTTAGTAGAGTCGTTTAGAGTGTGCAAGGTGTTTGGCTAAGGTTAAAAAAATGAGTTTTTTTTTTTTTAATTTATTATCAATTCCACACCGGTGTAAGTTAAAAATAAATGTTTGGATAGACAACTTTTTAAAAAAAGATTATAACAATGTGGAACCGAAGATAAACTATTTTTGATAAGTTATTAGCCCTAATTTATCAAAACTCCAAATAAGTTATAAACCGATTATAACGATGTGGAACCGAAGATTAACCATTTTTGATAAGTTATTAACCCTAATTTATCAAAACTCCAAATAAATTATAAATTAAAGTCGTCCCACATCTCTAAAAACCCTTTTTAGTCATTTTGCCCGACACTAAATTTATAGTATTTTACCAACCATATAAATTAATGTAAACACTTTAAAAAAAAATGTGTTTAGATATAAGTAACAAGCTAATAAATTAAGAAATTAAAAACGCTTTTATCGTTTCAAATGAACACTACATCCCAAACATCCCCTTAGACTCTAGTGTCAGCCAACTTCACTACCATGCGTCGTCTCTGTTTCACCTGTTCTTCTTCAGCTAGGGTTTCGAAAATCTGATTACGATAAATTCAACATCGACCAGCTATTGGAATCCTTCTTGGCCCTCTCCGATTCCGCCTCAGTTGAAGCCGCATTCAATCGCCTCGTCGAATCTAGGTCCACCTATTCCGATCAAAACGATCTGATCGAACATGCTTTCCAGTGCGGATCCAACCTGCTCGAAGCTATCAAGAGAACCATTCGTAAACGCTCCCCCATCCATAATGCATTCGGCTGGCCTCTCCCACATGATCTCACTGTCAAGGTATTATGATTCCTATTTTGATCTGTTGATTTTTGATTAGCCAGTGCGTAATTGGAGTTGTTTAGGGATTTTGGATTTTGTTGTGTTTATTTTTGTTTTTGAATGATATGCGTAGGTTTTTTCTAGGCTCGATACACGAAGCGTATTATGTGCTGCGGCTACGTGTCGATACTTTCAGAAGTGTGCTACAGATCCTTTGTGCTTTGCTAATATGGACGTGGCTATTTCACCTCTCAAGGTCGACAGTGTCGGGTTATCTAAGATGATTGAACTAGCTGGAAATGCGCTTCAGTAATCTCTCTGTTTTTTTTCCTTTCCATTTATACTTGTTTTTTATTTTCTTAAAACTAGGTAAATTCATGTTAACTTCATGCTGATTATGCATTTATGCTCCATTGGCGGTCGAACTAAATGTACAATTTTGAATTGGTATTAGTGTCATTCGAGTGGATGAAGCATGTCTTTGTATGACATCCTTTTCTTTAATGAAGAATGATGAGATATAATGTTCATCAACTTCCATACTTGAAACGTTGGAGTTCTAGTTTCATGTTTCTGTACCATGACTGCGCACATTCAAGTGAGGCTGAGGTTTTTGATACATTCATTTGGTGAATTTTGTGAATGCATATAATGTTGTATTGTGTTTGATTATACAATTGCTGGCATTAATCTTTCATTTGTACTATTCATGGACTACAATATGCACACTTACATATATCTACTTCAATTCTAGGTCTATTAAGCTTGGTGTACTGCCGCCTTTGCCGCCTTTGCCGCCTTTACCGCCTTCTCTGGATTACGAATGCTATTTATATATCTTGCCAGTGTCTTTCTTGAGATCTTCTTTTGAGTGCAAATGGTGGTGCAGCTGGGTATGTTCTCACTGTTTTGGAATGAATGAGTTATCTTGGCTGAAATATACACTAATTGCTAACATTATATGTTGTATTATTATTTGCAAGGTCGTGTTTAAGAAGATTGCATCTGTACGATATTCCAACTCCAACGATCGATGGGGAGGAAATTGATTTAATATTAGCGGTTTGCCCGTCTCTGGTCGATCTCGAAATCGTGCGTTTGTCGTAAGTCCCTTTGCTTTGTTCTTTGTTTTTTAAATTCTCACTTGTTAATGAGGCTCTTAAGTTGTGAATGTTTTAGTATTATAATTGTTGTAGAATTAAGTGTATTAAATATTCTTAGTTACTGATTTGTTGGAATTAGCATATAATGTACAACTAGGATATCCCGTTTAAGTATCGTATAAGTAGGCTTTTCTTTTGGTGAAGAATACATTCCAAAGCTTCATTGTATTAGTGCCTTTGAACTAAGTATCTCTTAATTTTAGATACCTTCATCAGAAACCCATCTCATGGTTGGTGGAATGGAGAGTCTCATTTTGGATGCCTCTTCACATCCTTCAACCCTCAATAACCTTAACATCTCTAGTTCTACCTCTCATGACGATGAAGTCGTATCTCTTGTTACCGGCCACAAGTTCAATGGTCATAACTTTCTTTAATGGTAACAATATGTAATGATGTATATCAGTGAAAAAGGAGAGGAAAAAAAGAGAATACCTCACTGGAGAGACCTAGACCCCAAAATCAGATGAGAAATACCAAAAGTTGCCCCTTTGTTTATTAATAAACGTCCCGACTCCTTTTGCTTTGAGATTTGTCAATTTGCGAACACACCCAAACACTTATCCTAGTGTACCATATAAACCTTCCAAACTATGTTTATTAATTTATTTTATAGTGATGTGTGGTCTCCCCCACATGTAAATTCTATAACGGGATCACAGTAGATTCACTTGGGTGTTTCTCATGAAAACCAAATAAGAAGTGGTGGAAATTAAAAAAAAAATGTTTCATTCTATGACTCAAACTCAGGTTCACACTAAGATTTAAATCCTCTAAGACATATTATGGGAAAAGTTTATTTAGTTCTAATCTTAGTCCTTATCTCACTCAACACAATATCCTATGCTTAAGCTCTTGTGTAGATACTCCTCAACAAAAAGAAATTGTTGAAACTTGAGAGAAATATCAACATCTCATAAAAATTGCTCAATATCTCATGTTTTCTACTAAGGTTCCCAAACATTTTTGGGGTGAGGTTGTCTTACAACTGCCTACCTTATCCAACTGTTATGGCCCGGGATCTAGACCTCGTGACAGGACCAGTGTTGTTGGTGCTTGAAGAAGTCGTGAACTCCCTTGTAACCAAGCCTCTTATTTGCAGGAGACTAAACTAAGCTATTAAACTATTACTATTACTCTATTGATTGTTTTCAAATTCCAGCATGTCTTATTTCATGTATAACTACCCTTTAAATAGGGATAAACAAAAGACTCAAATCAGGAAACAAAGACTCTAAATTAGACTCAAATTAGACTCAAATAATAAAAGATCCTAATTACCAAATTTAAAAACGGAAACAAGATAACTTCTTAAAATATAAAATACTTATTATCTATTAACTTCCAGACTTATCAAGTATGATTCATAACATTACTCCCTTCCTTTGCATAGAGCTTGTCCGCAAGCTCAAAACCTGGGTATGCGTTGGTAAAAACAGCACGATCATCCCAAGTAACATCTTCTTCATCCTCCATCATGATACAAAACAATGTCGCACACTTATGGCCGATCGAGAACATCTCATTACAGTTAAAGCATAATCCTTTTGCTCGCCTCTCTGCCATCTCTGTAGCCGTAAGCCGTTTCAAAGGCGGATTCCGCACTTCAGATTTCACTGTTTCGGCTCCACCACCTGCTGACTCTTGGTTTTTACTTCCTGCTGAGGGTTGATTCTCAGTTAATAGAGGTGCTCCAAAACTCCTTGGTCGTCCCTCCTCCGCGAGTTTGAACTCAATCTGTCTGGCTAGGTTCATAGGATAGTATAGTGTGGTGGGTATAGCAAACTTTACTTTGTAACGGATAACATTAGTCAAACCTGCACAAAAATGCCAAACACTTTGCTCCGTAGTCACACTTATCGTTCGCCCCAGCAGCAACTCAAAGCCGTCACAATAGTCTTCTACCGTACCTATTTGCCTTAATCGAGTTAACTCGCCTAACGGGTTCATGCTCATCGGGGGTCCAAATCTGATTTTGCACTCTTCTGAGAACTCGAACCAATTCAAGCGGGTTTTCATTCTTCGCAGGTTATGGTACCATCCACTAGCTCGACCTTGTAGTTAAAAGGTGGCCTGCCTAACCCAAGCTTCAGCGGGGTCTGTTGTTCTTCGAAGAAGTCTTCACATCTTTGAAGCCGTTCGACTGGATTACCCTTCCCATCATATGTGGGAAACTCCATCTTGGCGAATCTCGGTACTCTTCACCCATGGTATCCCGTATTTTCCGTCTCTTCTAAGTCTTTTGGTGCCCCCTGATCCCTTCTGTTTGACCCTTCTCGTTTGAGGGAGTCCCAATGGTGTTTGAAAGGCTGAGGTTCACCTGTCCGCCATGATTCAAAAGCCTTGCTTGATCCTCTTCCTGCTTCTTCCTGGATCAAACCCTTACCTCTTCCATCCAAGCCTCCTTGGTACAAAAACTTACTTTTTGGATTGGCACCAAAGGTGGCGCCACGTCCCCTTCCACGCACCTGTTCCGATGGTCATCGAATCTCTCTGACTCGAACATCTTGTCCACGCTTTCATTGTCTTCTTGTCTGTTGGATTTGTTTTGGGTTAGGGTTTGCAATCCCTCTTCCAATGCTGCTTGCTTGGTCTGCAAGGCTGCCATAGCCGCCTTTAAATCATAGGCAGTTGCTTTGTGTTTGCTGGATCATGAACGCTTCCAATTTCTTCATCAGCTCTTCCTGTTGTGTCGACATCACGAGCGGCTCTGATACCAAATTTGTTATGGCTCGGGATCTAGACCTCGTGATAGGGTGCTTGAAGAAGCCGTGAACTCCCTTGTAACCAAGCCTCCTATATTTGCAGGAGACTAAACTAAGCTATTAAACTAATACTATTACTCTATTGATTGTTTTCAAATTCGAGCATATCTTATTTCATGAATAACTACCCTTTAAATAGGGATAAACAAAAGACTCAAATCAGGAAACAAAGACTCTAAAATTTACTCAAATAATAAAAGATCCTAATTACCAAATTTAAAAACGGAAACAAGATAACTTCATAAAATATAAAATACGTATTATCTATTAACTTGCAGACTTATCAAGTATGATTCATAACACCAACCGAATGCCTTCTTGGGTTCTTGACTCTCGAACTCTATGCCAAATTGTCTTGCAAATATTCCTTCACAAGGTTTAATAGTGTTTTGATCCTAAAGGTTTTGGTTTTATAACTCTATAGATGTTATCTTCTTTGGAATCATTCTTACTACAAATCTAATCATCTCAGCTTTGGCTGAGAAGAATGTAAGGCCGACCCCAAACCAAATCATTTTTAAGCGCACCCCATTCTTATGATAGCAGAATAGCTATAGACTTCATTTCAATTTTGTATGCATGCAACAGTAAGGGGAAATGAAAGATATCAAAGGCATGTTCTTTAGCAACCTACCTAATGGTGTATGAAATTATGAAAGTAATACAAGCAACAAAATGATATTTTTGCAATAATAATAGGTCCATATAAACCACCTGTTAAATCTTAGTTATTTTCCTTATTGGAACACCATAATATTTTCTTTTATGCATTTTCTTCTTTTTCTTCTCAAGCACTAAAAAGGTTTGTTGGTGTGCATTCTACAATGATGGGCTTGTGTGAATATTGTCCCTTGGTTGAGCGTTATGTCTGTATCCCTATCCCTTTTGAGCCAGGTGGGATCTGCCTAAAATTGGTTTATGATTTTTTCTCATACTTGGAAAGGAAAGAATGTTGTAGGATCATTTGAGCTCTTGCATGCAGATTTTTTGGAGTCCTCCCGCCTTAATAAATTTGGTCTCAAGTGCCCTAAGATAACCACTTTAGCACTGAATGGTTGCAAGATGTATACTTATGTGCGAGGCGGCGATGATCGTCCTTTTGACTTTGGCATGCTGTTCAAGGTATCTTTTGAGAGTATGATTGTTCTTGTATTTTATTTCTCTTCAGGACTTATATATGGCCAAGCCTCCTATTGACAAATTACAGACTCACTTCTTCCTTTACAATCCCTGTTGCATTGCATTGCAGGTGTTTCACGAGTTGAAATATGTTGACTTTTCAGGATGCACGGGGCTAACTGGCAGGTGCCTGTAACTTCTCGTATTAGATTATATCGATGAGATCCTGATAAGAAAAAACTTGTTATTACAAATACAGGGAGCTTGTGACCGGTGGTGGTGGAAATAATCTGGAGGTCATGATTTTACGTAACTGTGAACATCTCAAACAAGTACAAAAATTTGCCCTATTTTTCTTTTACTCTAAAAGATTTTGCTCTATCCCTGGCTCACACATGTCATGTAATGAGGGCAGGTGGCGGTTGAGCAGTTTATAGAAGCCCTTATTGGAGGACATTTGAGGCTCCTAAGACATCTTGTACGTGTGATTTTCTGTTACTCTTTCCTTCCTAAATTAGTTTATTATTTGTTGTTTCAAAATTCTTCAAATCTAAACTGAAATATTCTTCAAAACAATAGGACATATCAAACATAAAAGGTCTAGCACTTGATGATGGAGGGACCCAGAGAAGTTTTCGTGTGAGGTGTATTATGTAAAATTATCACCCTTTCTCTTTCTGTATGTAAATTTTTCTTACCAATTAATTGTCTTTTTGTGCAGTCCCATTCTCATACAGCAACTGTTGGAACAAAGGCCTAATTTCTGCCTTGTGGCTGAATTTTCCGATCCAAGGTTAGTAAATCATATTATGGAATTCGATGATGTGTATTAATTACTCTTTACTAAGTTTGCATTGATCAAATGATGACCATAACACTCCTCTCTACCTTTGCAGTTGACCAAACTTCAAAGTAGCAGGCATTATCAATCAATCTACACATCTCTATATTTTCCATGTGCAGTTGTACAGCACTCAACTGTGTTTCATCGTTCTTCCTTTTTTCACGGCAGCCTTGAGTTGTGCATCAACATATACACTCATGTTATTAAGTATGAAATCATTATGTCAATTATTGTCCACAGGATTAGAGGAGACAATTTCGATTGATTAACTAACAAAAAGATTGATTTTGGTTGTGATTTTATCTCTAATGGATTGAATGGTTCGAGCCAATTGTTTCTACATACATATAAAATCTTAAATCATTTTGTTCAAAAAATTAGATCATGATAAACGACCCAACCTAAATTCAACTCAAAATTAGGCTAACAAGTTAAGATTTTTAATCTGATTAATTAATTGCATCGGCCTATTTAGTTAAATGGGTTAGGGTAGCAATGAAATTTTTGACCAAAATGGCAACATAAATATGGTAGTTATTTTTATTTTAATAAGATTAATATTTAATTATCTTATATTTGATATATAATAATAAAACCTAGTTTTTAAACATGCCTAATAATAAAACCCATTCACTTGTAATTTGTAAGGCCTAGTTAACTTATTTAATTTTCCTTTTCACTCGAGATGACGCCAACTAAAAGTGATTTTGGACAATTATTTGTGTTATATATAGTTTATTTTGTTTTGATTACATGCTAAAGTTTCAATGGATCAACCTATGTTCAACCCTTCCTTAAACAAGTGAAACTAACTCAACAAACTTGACTCATTGGGGCCTCTAGTATAGCCTTTTATTACGATTTATTAAGCTAAATTTTCACAAAATCCACTACGTTTTCAATGTTTTATTCCAAAAGCCATTACTCTTTTTTGTTTTCAGAAAAAACCATTTGACATCTAGAAAATGTTGTAATTTAGCCATTGATGTTTTATTTTATTTTTGCAATTTAAACCATTCTTGACTCTTGGGCGTCCATTTCCTCTTCAGAAAGGTCGGAGTAACTGTTAGTGATCTTCTCATGAGTAGAAAGTAAACAATCATATTCAAATCAATACAAAATCTTAATGCAAAGCAAAATATAGTTCTTATACATTTAGTTTCATACCAAAAGTTATTTATTTTACCTCTTGTTAAATCAGTCCAAATGGGGAACTTTTGCAAATTTTAATGACTTTTTCCGAAGAAAAAAAATAATTGTTTTTTGAGTAAAATTTGGCATATATTAATTATTTCAAAAAACTAAAAGACGACAAAAAGTGTTCATGGTGGTTTAAAATGTTTCCGGTTTACATTAGGGTTGATGGGTGAGCAAAAATAACGAATCGGTACCATATCCTTTACTTCAGTTTGTCTGTTTTTTGGTTTTTATTTTTCTAACATTTCGGTACCATATCCTTTATTTCAGTTTGTCTGTTTTTTGGTTTTTATTTTTCTAACATTTCGGTATTTTTTTCCCACTTCTAAGTTCAAACTAAACCACTTTCCCGAACTGGTACCAATATCGTACCCTATACTCAATATTCCTCTTTTAGTTTTGTGTCATTTTGATATTCGGTATTTTCAGTTCCAAGGTCACTCCTAGCTTATCTTAAAATACTATTTGTTTTTAACATGTTCAAAACAATTAATCCATCCATTGTCATCGTTAAACTATAGGCAGACCATGAGAAGAAAAGTCAAATATAAAATAAGGATATACCTTCCGGCCTAATGATCTTTTATCTCAAAAGGACAAGGACGTAAACAAATAATAAACTAAAAAGGGAAGGGGTGATAGGTTCCCAATGTGAATTTTTTTCATACAAGCTTCTAAATCGTTTTGTCCATACAATAAATACAATTCCTATAATCATATTTAAACCTAACACATCATAACCAAAACGTCTCGATTTTGTTTCAATTACACTCTAAACTAAATCCATAATAACACACCATTACATAAATTCATCAAATTCAACCCATAAAGTTTGAGTAAAAACTTGTAATCTCTGTTCCTCCAAAGCTCGCCATAATCAGTCGAACTAACATTGCACAGAGAATGACCAAAATATCCTTGTACATCAAGGAAAAAAAAACCAAGGTCCGATTTTCTCTAATCAACGGGGTTATGTCAGGTTGTGAAATGTCATTGGTACCCTTGCCTTTCTGCAGCATAGCTTCCACTCTCATCTACATTCAAGTTCATAGCAAGGACTTCATGGCTCTCTGAACCTAAAACAGAATCAAATTCTGAAGAATTATGGTGGCGGGAGTTTATGTCTTTGATATCGTGGCGCTGATAGATTTTCAAAAGGTCTCCACCTAAATCCATATCATCTTCAACCTTCACACGGCGGTCCTCCGGGCCGGAGTCCTCCCCACCGGATTCCCGAGAGGTCACTGGAGGTGGTGGCCGGTGGACTTCTTCCATGAAAGCCCGGAACTTGTTTCTTGAAGGCTTTATCTTTGTGCAGAATACTTCTTTGAAATTTCCTGCACAACCTTGATCATAAATATTGATCCTGTTGTCTGCTCGATATCGGAAATTTTCATAGGTAGTCTGCAAAATGCACAAAAGTTTAATTATCACTTTTTCTATTAAGTCAATCTTTCTGCATTAAATGAAAATAGAATCATTCATATATAGCTAACTGGATTGCGTCTTGTCCTTGTTATTTCCATTAAGTCAAAAAGAAACAACACCTTATTCTATAGTTGACTTTTAAGAGTCAAAAACTCATTATTTTGACTTCAAAACTAATGCGATGTGAGAAAATCAAAATAGCTACATTATAAGCGTTCTTCTACACAAAAGTTCCAGACTTAGAAACTACAAGAAATCGTACTAACTTTATGTTAGAAAAGACGTATGGGCTTGAATTTTAAAAGTCAAAGTGAGACTAATATACTGACCTGGTTTGAGCTAATGAGATAAAGATGAAAACCCGTAAGCCCACCAACGAACCACAATGCAATAAAACAATAAGCCATCAACACCACCGCAAGAGGAGATTCTCTCATCCCGCTCCAAATCGAGCCACCATAATCCCTCATCAACACCTTGATGTAAAAAGCCGACATACAAAATACGTAGATACAAAGAAGCGTCGAGGAAGAAACAAATAAAAAGAAGAGTCGGTAATTACGCTGCAATAAAACAAAAAACAAGATTGGAAATTGGAGTCGAATTGATTAAATACAAACAACAAATATACTATAAATTGCGATAAATAAATAAATAAAAGGTATACCAATCCAATGCATTGGCCAACCCACGGACAATGGTGATCGAAGCGCTCGACACAATTGTTACAAACGGAACAATGAGAGCAACGAGGAGGTCGATAAAGCATGCACGTGTCACAGTATTTGACTCTAACCGACACTCCGTTCACAATAACTTCTTTTGTACGAGGAAATTGTAAGCTCGGTGTTTTATCGTTGGATACCGAACTTTCATACCGGAGTTCTTCTTCGGGTGGATGTAAGTTACGGGGAACTATTCCAGGGTCTCGAGATGAAGTAAGAAGAAGAAGTACCAATACCTATCATCATAAACTAAATAATCATCATGAGCTATATAAACCATAACGAAAGAATAATTCTAATGTTTAATGTACAAACTACAAAGTACAAAGTACTATTCGATAATATGATGAAATAAAAGGAATCTTGTTAATGGAAATCGATGTTAGTGATAAGTAGGTCATTTTTGGCTTGGAATATTGAGACAGGGGAAAAAAATCAACCATACATTGTAATTTTAATTTTTCTTATCAGGACACTGTACTTTGAAAAATATACTCAATTATAGCACTGAAAATCGCTTTGTATTTGGATGACATTTCTATAATTTGGTAGATTTTTTCAATGTCAAATGTCGTAAATTGAAGAAATGGAAATAGAGTGCTATAATAATAGACAAACAAGTAAAAGTACAATGATATGTCTCACATGTAACCCAAATAATAAAGCATCAAAACTTTAAAACCACTCCATTGAACTAATTTTTAATGAACCCAGTTGACCCGTTATCAATAAGATATAACCCGAATTAATGAATTTTTACTGATGTATGAAATGCATAATAATAACACGAATAATTGTGTAGTTGGGGATCAAGAGAACTAACATAGATTGTGAACAGAAATGGTGCCACAACAATCATATATCCTGCATTATATGAAGGAAACTCATGGAGAAGATGTCTTCCAATGAAATTACAGAAAATAACAACAGGAACCATGATCATTGATGCAGAAACAAGTATAGACCTAGCATCTGGACCAAAGATCAACCTTCCTCCAAGAAGGAACTTCTGAATAAACCAAAAATTGAAAAAGGTTAACATGAGTAATAAAGAAAGAAAGAACTTACATGAAGAAAGTCATATGAAGTCAGTAGAACTGTAGCATGAAGTTAAACAAAACTAATACAAACAATAAACTGTTACAAAAGATTTGGAGTTACCGAGTTAGATAAAGAAAATGAAGATGTACCAACAATTGACCAAAATCAAGTGGGTTTGTATAAAATGAAACACTTGGATGAACAAAATTGTAAATTTATCAAGTTTCAAGAAAATTTCATCAAGAAAGGTTAAGAGATACCAAAACCCACTAACAAACTCTACTCGCAAGGTCCCATGTATCAAAATGAACTAAGAACATGAATCCTTGTGTCTTTTTAAATATTTATACCAAAATCTAAACTCGCATACTACTGTATTTTTTTTTTCAAGCTGAGTCTTTCCATACAAAGAATTATGACTTTTTAAATAACCCTAGAGCCAAAACATGCAAGCTTAGGTTTTTATGTCAGACGAAGGGCCAAAATAAACAATGATTAAGCACAATTTAACCTCAGTAGAAGTTCTTTATACCGAATATTTGTTCTATATGTATGTCACAAACCTTATTTTTAAAGTGCCCCTACCTACTACAGACATACATATACATCAGCATTCCATATTAATATATAAATATATAGTCCAAATCAAATATAATTTAGTTAAAGAAGGTTCTATAATACAATTCAATTAACAGAATAATGAAAGAAGCTGAAAAAAAAAACACGAATCGAACATCCAACAAAAAAAAAGAACCAAAATTCAGGTATAATAATCACAAACCAAGCAACGCTACATGATCAATCAAAGAAACATCTATATTAGAGTAATAAGCTGCGAATCTGAAGCCGACCCAGATGATAAAAAGTCAAAGTAAAAGTTCAAAATCTTACATTTCTCCCTTTCCAGACTTCGTATACTCTCTTCTCCATGTAAAACGAAAACCCAACTCACGAAATCAGTAACGAATGTCTGAAACTTATTGTAGCTCATAAGTCATAGCAATTCGTCTTCTACAAAACCCATAGAAGAAGAAGTAAAATGTGAGTGAAGAGGATCACTGATGGAAATTAGAGAAAAAAAGGGTTTCGTTTGGAACGAGAAGCGCGCTCTTATGTCCCAATCAGTCTGCAAATTAAATTATGAGTCAAGATTTGTCTTTGCTTTTTTCTTTTTCAGCCATAGTGGAAATGATTTGGGGATGGTCTTGAATGTTGCTTTCTCCTTTTTCACTTTTCTTTTCTATAAATTCTTACTTTTTTTTTTCTCGAACGAAGATTTGCATTAAAAAATAAAAACACAGCAAATTTCATGTACAAGAATTTTTAAAAGAGAAAAGGTCAATAATCTAAATTCTCATGTACAAGAATTTAGTTTTAACGTATTTTTCCGCTAAGAGTTTTTATTTTTTCGTAGAGGCAACGATTACAAGGTCGGCCGGCTTTTTGAGCTGAGCAAATTGGGACTCCAAATGCCATTACGCCAAAGGCCCTCGATTATTCTTGTTATATTGGGGCATATAGTATATAGTATATAGTGTTGGCCCATTAATCTAGAGTCTAGTGGACTTATTTTGACCCAACACTCTTATTTAGACCCAGCGACCGGCGTGCGCATCCAACTATCAAGATGTCATCAACTCTCCAGACTTCATGAAATGATTTCTATAGAAAATCTAAATCGGAGGTCGTCCACTTCATCATAAGCCAACGCCCAACGGTTAGTTCTCATTGACTACTTCTTCTATTTCTTATTCAACTTAAATCGATTTCTTCTCCTTCGTTTCTGATTTTCTGAACTCGTGTACAACAACTCAACAAGGAACCACAAAGTTTTCAGCAACTGAAACTCTATTCTTTCCCTTCTTGTTTCTGATTTTAGTTTTTCTGAAATAGCAATCAAAACGACAACACCAATAGTCGATGACAGTTATGGGCGTTAGGGCGTATATCAGCCGAGTTAAGCTTGAGCTCGGTAGGCTCCGACTTGACTCGTTTAAATGCATGGGCCTTGAGCTCGAGCTTGGCTCGCTTCAAGCTTAACTTTCAAAGCTAAAGCTCTACTTGTGAAGGATTTAACATGCTCGAGTTTGGCTCTGGATCGACTCGTTTGTTAGACGAGCCTAAATGAGCTTAAGTTCGGCTCGAGCTTGCCTCTAATAATAGTCAAATACAAAGCTCGTTTTAATATTATTTGATATTTTTTTAGAACAACTTACATACGTATCTCACTACTCTACTCCTAAATCTACACTTTCGTCAACATTGAGACTTGAATCCTCAAGCTGATGTGCCTGTCTGTCAACTTCCGATACCGCTAAGTCAAAGACTATTTGGTATTATTATTTGATATTTGATATTTACTACTTAATTATTTAATAATAAGTTAATATATAAAATCAAAATTATAAATTATATTATATAAATATGCATAGGCTCGTTTAGGCTCTTGAACCTAATCGAGCTTCGATGATGAAGCTTTGTCGTTTAATAAACGAGTTGAAAAAGCTCGTTCGAGCTTTTTACAAGTAGTAGCTTGACTCATTTACATCCCTACTGAAAGAGAAATGGAAGTTAGTTGATTTATTTATGAATCGAGGCCTTCTATAGACTATAATCGAGTTATCAACAGTCGTTGCCTCTATGCCTCTATGCCTCACTAGAATCGAGAATCCATGTTTATGTGTAAGTTCTAGCCTTCTTTAAATATTTTATTCTTTCATACGTGAAATCCGATTTTTACTAAATATGTGAAAGTAAGAGATGAATTGAATTTCTGAATATTAATTCTTATAAGTTATAGATGGAATTGATTTCGGAATGTTAATTTGTTAAATTCGATCATACACTGAGTTTCAATTTCTTTAAATTCAATCTCCTTAATTTTGATTTCTCTGTCATTCTAAATTTTTTTTTGTTAATTTGATGTATTGGGCTTTCAATTTCTTACACTTTGATTTCTTTAAGATATTTTGCTTAATTCCGTTTTCGTTGTCATTATGAACTTCAAATTTTTGATATCGTTGTATTGGTTTTTTCAACTGCTTAGAGATTATTAACAACCTACCATAGGTATTCCCTTACTCTCGTTTTGTTTTTTTGTTAATATATTATCCATGATTGTTAACCGGATATTACTAATATTTGTTAGAAATGTTTCTTTGAAAATATATGTCTGGAAGTGAAAAACAGAATAAGAACAAAATACTAATCAATTTATTGAACTCAAAAAAGATTTATGAATAATTTTATAAAAAAATTAAATTATTTTCATGTTCAAGAAAAAAATAATGTCACACATGAAAATGTTTTATATGAGTAAAATAATACCATATGTCAAAATGTTTTAAACTAACAAGATAATATCATATATGAAAATATTTTAAATGAACAAGATATCATACATGAAAATGTTGAACACAAATGATGAATCTCTTACTAATAAAAGACTCTTTAAGGAGCCACGTGTCCCCTTTCCCCCTGCATTTAAATACATTTGAAGTATCATATATCACCAAATCCCTTAAATTTAGCAATATTTTTTAATTGCTTTATCTTTTACCATTTATACCTGCATCATAATAGGAATAAAATAATGATATTACAATATTATATTTGCTTATTGATTTCGTTTATATAAACCGAACCCCTAAAATTATTTCCAAGATTTGTCGTCTTTCTCATTTGATTTCTGCCTATTTCTTCTTCTCTGCGAATCTGGTACATCATTTTCCAAACAACTGTCAATCATTTTATTATTTTTCTTTATTTTCCTTATTTCTATCTTCTTCTCTTCTCTGCGAATCTGGTACATCATTCTCCAAACAACTGTCGATCATTTTATTATTTTTCTTTATTTTCCTTATTTCTATCTTCTTCTCCTTATCTTACGGTTCTTATGTACCATCTTATAGGCATCGATGTTTAATAAATATGTATGTTTTAAGTAACATGTGTTTTAGACTCCACAATTCCTGTTTAATGTTAACTAGGTAAGATTGTTGGTTTTATCAAAATTTCAATATGAATGTTAACTCAGTTAACATTGTTGGTTTTATCAAAACCTAATCATATTTACATTGTTTGTTGTACCAATGTTTTCTAATATTCAGTTTAATGTTAAATAAGTTTTTAGAGTGCCTAATTTGGCTAATTCTTTCTCACTTTCTCACTTCCTCTATTCTCATAATCTGATTTTTTTTTCTGCTTTATTTTATTGATTTACATTTTTTATTTTAGTGATGTTTTTACATATTGATAAATGTATAGTAGTAGACTTTTAATGTTTTATAAATAGAACTAGAGCCGAATGTCATCCTACTTTCAAAATGGCTACTAGGATGTACTTGAAATGGCATTCTACTTTAAAAAAATGATTTTTGTTTAAAATATGTCTGCTCTTAGTAATAATAGGTCTATGCAAGGTTTTTCAGAAAATATGTATTACGTTTTAGGGACATATACCACTATACCAGACATGGTAAGTGTTTTTTTTTAAAGGTTTATGAAATGGTAAAAACTATATACCCAAGCTATAGTTTCTTCGGTAAAAACTACTTATTTATAGCATTAAGCTTTCACATTTCTTATTAGTGTATTCTACTTTAAACAGTCTATTCAATTATTACAAATCCTTACAGTGTGTTTGAAATAGATAGGGCATCCTAAAACATAAAGTCTATACAATTCATACATAAAAAGTACATAGCTATTTCGTGTATTTATAGTGGTTGAAATAGATGGGGAATCCTAAAACATAACGATCTCTACAATTCTGTCCTTTTATATTAAAAAATAACAACTCTGCCCTTTTATATTAGAAACGGACAACGATGACATTTTATATTATAAAAATGACAAATATGCCCTTTTAATAGAAAAATAGCCATTGTTAATTTTCTATCGGCTATATTGTTTTTTAATTATGTTTTTTACTGTCAAATATAAATTCAAGCTATCACTTAGGTTGAAAATGACAATTCTACCCTTTAATATTAGAAAAATAACAACTCTGCCCTTTTATATTAGAAAATGATGACTATGCCCTTTTATATTATAAAAATGACAAATATGTCATTTCAATAGAAAAACTATCATTTATCAATTTTTGTCAGCTATATTTTTTAATTATGTTTTTTACTATCAAATATACATTAAACTTATCATTTAGGTAGTAAATGACAATTCTGTCCTTTTATATTAGAAAATGACAACTTTGCCTTTTTATAATATAAAATGACAACAATGTCCTTTTATAAATATTTATTATGTATAATATAAATTGTTTTTTTTTTTTTGAAAAAAGATATAGCTTTATGTCAATTATAACATCTTACCTTTGGATGGATTTTTTTTGGGATCTCATGGTTTTGATAATACTCTTGAGAAAGTACATTGCTATGATTTTATTGTTGGTCATTCCCATTTTACCCTTGATGTATAAATACATATTCATGCCCCTTATTATTTTGACCCTTTGTCGTCTTTGTCTTTTGATTCCGATCAAAGTCTGAACATGTAGAAAATACCTTCTTCATTCACAAGGAGTTCAATCAATCAGGTTAGTGTATAACCAACTTTCAAATTCTTCTTTTTTGTTTTGTTTTGTTTTGTTTTTTGTGTGTATTCTTCTCTTTCTTTTATAATCATAAAACAAATGGTTTCATAAATTTGAGATACATCGTCATTTCATATAATTTATGTTTTGTTCAAATACATTATTTGATGATATTTTTTGATATTTCAAGTTATATATGTCTACAAAGAAAAGAATAAATTTCAAAAAATAAAGATATTTATCCGATTAAAAACGTCAAAAAACATGAACGAATAAAACATCAGAAAGTAAATATTTATAAATTTATTGAATAAAACATTAAGAGTAAACTGCAAATTTGATCTGGTTACAAAAAGAAATGTGGAGAGTCCAAAAAGATTTGACTTGCATTATTGGTTCAAAATCACATATTTTTTGTGGTTACGGTCACTTTTAAACATAAAAAAACCGTTTTACCCTTTTTATTTCTATTTTGCTTTTGTTTTTGTTTATTTTAAATACTTTAAAATGTTTCAATTAATTAGAAATAAAAATGGATCCTCTCACTCATGAGCAAACTCCAAACGATGAGGAAAAGAAGAAATAACATAATCTAACTACAAACACAATTACTAAATCAAAATTAAACTAAAAAATCCAAACTGAATAGTGA